AGGGAGAGTTAAGGGGTCTCTGGTAAACTGTGAAGAGTATAATATAGAATGCCAAGCAGTCTAGTTCTTTAATTAATATTATTTACTTATTTTTAGGACTTGAATGGAAGAATTGCACAAATCCTAATGAATTCTACGATTGCGGAAGTGCTTGTCAAAAAGAGTGTGCAACTTTAGGCCAACCGTGTCTAATAGTTAATTTTAGATGTAATGATGAATGTTACTGCATAAAAGGTTATGCAAGGGACAATAGAGGAAAATGTATTCCGATTAAAGACTGTCCCCCTAAAGAAATAGCTAGTGCAAGATGAAGATAAGATTTTTATTTGATTGAAGGATACCAAAAGTGGCAATGCATTTAGATCAAAGATTGCCCCCCTTTAAAGAAAAAGAACATTATTATTAATTGTCAAATAAATGTATAGTTATATTCATATACTTTATATTTTTTTTATAGATATTATAAGTTACATTTTTTTGGTATTTTTAGTTGAATCTATACATCAGTGGTTCTCAAACTTTTTTGATGACGGAACCGTTTTGAAAAGCAAAATATTTGACGGAGCCTTAAAAAAAGAAAGGTCCTCCGAACAAAATCATATCCTCCTTCCTCTTAATGACTTCAAAAAAAAGGTCTCGAGCCACTTCCCTCGCTTTTGTGGCCATAGTACTGCTTTTTTATTATGGCTATTATTTTCTTTCGCGGAGCCCTCATAAAAGCAAAGGTCCTCCAAGCAAAATCATATCCTCCTTCCTCTTACTGACTTCTAAAAAAAAGGTCCTACAAACATAATCATATCCTCCTTCCTCTTAGTGACTTCTAGGTGGGGTTGGTTGTAGTTTAGCCATTGCTTTGTAGCTTAGATTGCTTGCTTGTTTGCTTGTGGGAAAACAAAAGAAAGAGGTGAAGGGAGACGAGAAGAGAAGCACCATCGCTCCATCTTCTCTATCCCCCTCTCACCACTCATCGGCGAGGGAATCTCCCCTCAAAAAAGAATCTAAACGGAAGCTACCTTCCCTACCTCCACTGGGACAACCTGATGGAAGGGACGACCGACTGAGGCATGGTCTCACAAATCCCAGGGCGAGAGAAGTAAAATCAATCCTAAGGATCTGAAAAGAAAGCGAGACGGGAATAACACCACACCACCGCAAAGGAAAGAAAAGAAAAGTGGCCGATACTTCCACTTCTGGCAGTTATGCAACTATCGTGAAGACCTACCTAAGAGGTTCCTTGAGACCATCCTCAGTGTGAACGAACAAACCTTGGTGGAAGAAGCCATAGTAGAAGAGATGTTCGCTGGCATCCACTTCCGGCCAGGAATGGTCTTAATCGACTGTGAACCCCACAGTCAGCAAAATGGCTCAGGGTAAAACTCCCGCACCTGAGCAACTGGAAAGGAGTGGAGTTGGAGGTATGTGCGGGAGACGACATCCCGAAAGCATATACAGCCACGCTCTTCCTCCCAAGAAGTCAAGGGTAGCCTGTAGAGAAGCTTCTACAGTTAATAGAAGCGCAGAATGTGGGGCTATCAACCACACTATGGAAAATCGTCAGCCAAAAAGACGAGGGCAAAGGCTAGATCCTTAGGTTAGGAATAGATGACCTTTTCCTGCCAACGGATCAAGGATAGTGGATGCACTATCCACTATCGATTTCGGAAAATCCCCGTACATGGCCTTCAAAAGAAAGAAGAAATAAAGGAACTGGGAGAAACAACATAATCAACTCCTAGTACTTCCAAAGATGAGACTGATGTAGAGAACATAAAGAGCCTTAACCTATGAAATCTCTGCGTACTCATCTGAGGATGTAGAAATTGATGAAGAAGCAGAAGAGGGGGATATGGAACGCACCCTCACCGATGAAGACAACACCCCCATTAAAGGAGAGTAAAATGGCGGGCATCGACATCGTCCAAGTGAATGTCCATCACGCCAAGGGAGCCTCGGCTGTGATTTCCAGGACATTCACTAAAGATCAATTAGGGATCGTACTGATTCAGGAACCGTGGGTTTGTGGAAACCAGGTTAGAGGACTTGCATATAAGGATGCAAAAGTAATTTATCACACTAGTGATGAAGTACCCAGAACATGTATAATGGTAAGAAGTAATATTAAATATTCTTGTCTTTCAGAATTCATGACGCGTGATCTCGTTCCAATTCGAGCATACCTGGAATTAGGGATGAGGCGGCAAGACATAGTAATAGCTTCTAGTTACTTCGACGGAGATGGGCAGTGGAGTACTGCCAGAGAAGACATCTGCCATTACTTCTTGGATGCGACGCCAACGCGCACAGCACCATATGGGAAGTAACGACATCAATCAAAGAGGTGAGCAACTTTTAGAATATATTTTTAATAAGAACCTTATTGTGCAAAATATTGGGAATACTCCAACATTTGTAACAAGGGTAAGAAGTGAGGTATTAGACATGACATTAAGCACATCGAGCATTAAGGATGGAGAGTATTGAGTGAACCATCTCTATCTGATCACAAGATAATTGTGTTTACGTTAGAGAGCGACATTCCTGAAACGATCCTCAGGAGGAATCCTAGAAAAACAGTCTGGGACAAATACAACACCATTCTAAAATAAAATTTAGCACGTATCCAGATAATAATGAGGCCCGGGCACCCACTTGCTCTGGAAAGCGATCTCGAAGAACTTAATGGGGCAATACTTGAGGCATATGAATCAAGCTGCCACATTCAAAGAAATAGAACTAGTAGGGATGCTCCTTGGTGGAACCGTCATCTGTCAAACTTACGATCCGAAGTACGGAAGCTCTATAATAGGGCCAAGCACAGCGGAGATTGGCAGAGCTACACCGAGGCGCTTACTATCTACAAAAAATAAATCAGGAAAGCTAAACGTAACAGCTTTAGAAAATTCTGCGAGGATATTAACTCTACATCTGCGGCAGCGAGACTGCACAGGGCCCTGGCAAAAGGAAGAGTTGATACAGTTATGGCATTAAAGAAACCAAATGGAGAGTGAGGAGGAAAGAGCTCGCCTCTTACTCGAAACTCACTTTCTTCGAAGAACACCTTTTCTAATAAGGGATACAACTAGGGTAAGTAGGCTCCCAAGAGAGGCCGCTGTAGTGGCCAAACACATATGCAGCAGAAATCGGTTAAAGTGGGCCGTAAACACTTTGGAACCGTTTAAGTCTCCAGGTATGGATGGAATATTTCCTGCCCTACTTCAGCAGGCACATGAGGAATTATAATCACACATAATCCGGCTATCCTGGAGCAGTCTGGAGCTGGGATATATACCAGAAGCATGGAGAAGGGCCAGAGTCCCCTTCATTCCAAAAGTAGGGAAAAAGGATACCACACATCCTAAATCCTTCCGACCAATCAGCCTCAAATCCTTTGTATTAAAAACAATGGAGAAGGCTGTTGATAATTATATCAGAACAGAAGTCCTGGAGAGGATGCCACTCCACCACAGCCAACACGCGTACCGAGCAGGAAGATCTATAGAAACTGCCCTGGTACAGTTGACTGACGTAATCCAGGATGCACTGACAAACAAAGAAACGGTCGTGCGTGCCTTCCTAGACATATAAGGAGCTTTTGACAACACGCCACAGGAATCTGTAAAAAGAGCACTTACATACAGAGGAGTAGATAACATCACATCCAGATGGATGGCTCAGCTGTTATCTACGAGACCTGCAGAGACACAGATAGAGCAGGACACCATCTCCATCTGCACAACCAGAGGATGTCCACAAGGAGGAGTTCTATCCCCACTAATGTAAGGCCTAATCGTAGACGAACTTTTATGCAGATTGACTGACAAAATGTATGAAGATATTATTCTTAACGACGTGCTCGAAGAGCACGTCGCAATCTATTAAACAATTTTATACGGCTCCATGACAAAACAGCGCAGGACAAAATAGCTAAGACAAAATAGCGCAAGGACAAAATAGCGCAAGACAAAATAGAGCAGGACAAAATAGCGCAAGGACAAAATAGCGCAAGGACAAAATAGCGCAAGGACAAAATAGCGCAGGACAAAATAGCGCAAGATCAAAATATTCTAGTGTTCTATTTAAAATAAAACAAAACTTAATTGATTTACCTAACCTGTGCCTTGTGCAACATGCAATGGCAGCAGGCTGCACAGGTTAGGTAAATTGGTTGTTTTTTTTATTTCAATTAAAATACAAGGAACAACTAGGGCAAACGAACAAGAAATGTTTTTTAATGTAATTCCTTGAAATAATGCGTAACGAATACTGTTTCGGCGACGCCTATTTAATGAATGTTTGCGCTATTTTGTCCTTGTGCTGTTTTGTCCTTGCGCTATTTTGTCCTGCGCTATTTTGTCCTTGCGCTATTTTGTCCTTGCGCTATTTTGTCCTGCGCTATTTTGTCTTTGCGCTATTTTGTCCTGCGCTATTTTGTCTGCGCTATTTTGTCCTGCGCTGTTTTGTCATGGAGCCATTTTATGTATATGAGAATATTTAGTCATACTAGTGATCGACCCAACATTTTGCATTGCGATTTTTTTACTATAAGGCAAGTCTATATACAAATACTTAAGGATCACCCTATATATCATAAAGTCAGCGTTCAACAGTTATTGTTTGGTATCAAAGTAAAGATGATAGAAACACTAAAACCAGTGTCGAATCATTTTTACGGGGTTTCAAATTCATATAAATAAATTAAATAAATAAATTATGTAGTACTAAAAAATAGCGATTGACTTACTTCCTGTCAATATTGGTAGTAAATTTTGATAGATTTCTGCCATTCTTTTAAGTAGATTTTGTAGTATCCTCCACTACTGCCCATCCTTAATGAAAGCCCAGGAGTTGTAGGTTTGTAAATAAATGTTTAAAAAAGTGTTTTTATTTAGAATAAAAATTCGTTTACAAGAAATAATTTTACTATTAAATTACTTTTGTTTTAAATAATACATTCATTAAATAGGTACATCTATAGGATAAGTTAAAAAGTACATTAATATAAATCCCACAACCGTAAAATCCACAATATCACAGCTAAATTACTAATAGATATTTACAATTTACAATCAACTTTAAAGGGTTCAAACAACCATATTTTAGTTAGTTAGTAATTTTTTTTAATTGGTCCTCAATTTATTTAAACAAGTCACAACCAAAAGGTTTTGAATCATTGTTTTTTTTTTCTTATTTAGATTAGTTTGTATATATGAATATAATATTTAACAATATTGTTATTTATTTATGTAGAAAGTAGATCTGCTGTTTTAAATCAAATATCCTGCACGCACCTAAAAAATAAAAAAATAGAAAGAACTGAATTTAATAAATTAGGACTTGTTGAGATCAGCGTTTGAACAATCACTTATTTAAGAAACATTTGGTTACATCTACGATCGCAGACCCATTCCGTTGATCATGATATTAGCTAAAGCATTCCTTCTCTTCCTCCACGCTCCCATCCCTTGAGCATGATACTGCAGTTGCTTGTACCACATGGCCGTCTGTTCTTCATCTTCGGCCTGAAATTCATTACACACATTTGGCTCTGTCACGAAATAACGCTGAACGAAACAGCGCATATCAAAAGAGCGTCTGAATGAAATAGCGTGTTTAACAAGAGCGCCTAAACGCAATAAAGATTTTTAAAATAGTGTCATTTAATTTATCTAACAAGGGCGGCCTGCGTGAGCGGCTCCAGGCCGCACAGGTTAGGTAAATTAGTTTATTTTTTTTATTTCTCTCGTTTATTGTATATTTTTTTTTTCAAGCAACCTACAATGGCTACAGGTTGGGTAAATTAGTTTTTTTAATCAATTTATGTAAAAACAAAGGCGCTATTTTGATACGCGCTATTTTGTTCGGCGGTATTTCATAATAGTCATTTTGGACTAATGCTGTTTTTTAATATTCACTATTTTATTAAGGCGCTGCTTCGTTTGAACACTGTTCTGACTGACGCTCTTTTGATATGCACTCTTTTGATAAGCGCTCTTTTGATATGAGATATTTCGTTCAGCGCTATATCATGATAGAGCTCCCAAATTTAACATTTTTAGTATATAGAGATTTTTTCGTTAGGTAACTGATTTTATATAAAAGGTCACATTGAATAGATGTGCCTTCAAGTAGAAGGCCAGTTTTACATATGTGTCTTTATGCAAAAGGCCACTCAGACAATTGTTTTTAAAAATTTCGAAGAGAAGTAAAAGCTAGGTTAGATATATGGAGGATAGAGGAAAGGAGAACAATCTCTGTATACAAAAAGTTTCCCTCAAAATGTATACAATTAAGATGGCGCTTCTGTGCCCAGGGGACGTCGACAGTCGATAATTCAGATCACACAATGACACCAATGATGTATATAGTAATAAATATTGCTCAACCATAAAAAACTAAAAACTACACCGTGAAAAGTGACTGATCGTAGAAGAGTAAGTGTTCTGTGATCGTAGATAAATTTTGACAATACACGACAATAGTCAAATTCTTATATTAAAATGTCACGGAGGTCTCAATTTACTGCTTCCTGTCTGATTTAATTATGAATGAGCAATCTATATGACTATATAGCATTGGATTTTGTCCCCTGGCTACACGAGCGCCATCTTAATTGTATACATTTTGGTGGCCACTTTTTAATATAAAGATCCATATAAGATTGTCCTCCTTTTCTCTACCCTCCATAGTTAGATAGAAGACGGAATTTAATCGAATAACGCCAAAAAGGACTTCCGATTCGGACATCGTCGTGGCAACATTGAAATGGCGGTCTCCGAATCGGGAGACCTGAAATCCAATAATAATCACTAAATATCTAGTGTAAAAGTGACCATTCGACTAAATTAAATAAAATATTCTGTGCCAAGAATACAGAAGAATATTTAAACTAATTATCAAGTGCAGTGGAAGAGTGAGGACAGAAGTCCGACGCACGAGGGTGCAGCTTTTCCACAAAATTTGAAAAAATAACTTAACCTGTGTGGATAGTCCTTGGATTAAGCACATAAAAACATAGAAGAAGAATGACGCCAAAAAGAAGTAATTAGAGGTTATGTATTTTCACTTTCCTGAATATACAGATAAAGAAAAGAAGAAGAAGAAGAAGAAGAAGAAGAAGAAGAAGAAGAAGAAGAAGAAGAAGAAGAAGAAAGAAAGTATAAGAACTATTATTTTTTCGACTTCGAGTTTTTGATGGATTTTTACAACAAAAAACTGTTTTTGTTAAATAACTTGACTATTGTTTAAATCAGTAAAAAGTGGTTTGCATCGTTAAACTTCCCTTCTAGAGTTCTACAAACTGGTTTTCACTAATTCATGTTGTGTTGTCTGCAAGACAAGAGAATAGGCTTTTCAAATCGAATTTGGGGGAATTTTAACCGAAAAAAAGTGCCGTTGTTTTGCGTTTAATTATGTTGCCAACTGTCATTTCAGTGTTGCCAAACTGTCAGCTGTCAATCCACTGTTGCCAAACATCTGTCAATTGTTCTTTTAGCTGTCAATTCAGAATTGCCAACTGTCAACGGTGTTACCAACCTAATCTAACAGGAGTCGAGAGTCGCAACGAGATGGCGCAAACTGTCAACTAGACGTCATGCCACTTGTGAGTGATGCGACCAATGAATTGGAGTGGGGTAGAAAGCCAATGTGCATATTGTATCAATAGAACAAGATGCGACTCTATGGGCGCAGCCATTTTTATTTCTCATCTCGCTCGGGAGTATTTATAATAACCATTTTCTGTTTCACATTGTTATTGTTCAATCCACAAGCTGGTGGATCAGACAATAACAAAGTGAAATAGAAAATGGTTGTTATAAATACTCCCGAGTGAGATGAAAAATAACCTGTCTTTGCCCATAGAGTCGCATCTCAAGCCTACTGACAAGCATTCTACCCCACTCCAGTTCATTGGATGCGACACGACTAAGAGATTCAAGATGGCGGCTATCGTATTCCAACTCCTGCGACTGATTTAAACGGGTGGGAACCGGGGGAGTAGAGACGCCACGCCACCCGTTAGTGACGCGACTCGGCTTGCGACACGGCTAAGCGTTCCAAGATGGCAGGTATCGTATTCGAAATCCTGCGCAGTGTGGCCTGCACCTGATTTGAACGGGGAAAACGGGGGAGTGTGGGGGTGTGAAAACCGGCGCAGTGGCCAACCAACCTAACGCCAGGCGATATAAAGAACTGGAATTGTAGCGTAGGAATAGTCAAGCAGCAGAGTCAGTGGTATGACTCGAATTAGTCAGCGGTCTGCGTCTCGGTTAAAGAATCCAAGATGGCCATCTTGCAAAAGGCACCATGAGATAGCGCTACCAGTCACATGCCAAGTATGAACTTCAAACAGAAGAAATGGGGGCGTGGAGGTCCTACGACGTGGCCGTAAGCCAACCAACCTAAAGCCAGGTGACATGAAGAACTGGAGGATGGCTCAAGAGAAGAGACAGAAAGAGGGGTGGCTTAGGCCTAACGCCTGAAGAACTGGAGGCTGGGTGGATGAGTTGGAAGTGTTATATATGAAAAGCCATGATGCCTGAAGATGAAGAGCTAAAGGCTAAAGTAGAATAACGTAGGGGACTGAAGAAGTGGGGAAATTACATGCGTTGAAAAGAAAAAATTGTAAAATGGCCAAAAGGATCTCAGGTAGACAAACGGAAAGACAGACAAAAATACAGACAGATAAAGGACAGGCAGACAAAAGGAGGAGAAAAATATATGCTCGTCAGATAAAATCATAGAAATTCGTATTAAGTGGAGTGGGGGAAATTACATGCGATGAATAGAATCAAACAGAACAAAATGGGAAAGTGGGGGAAATTACATGCGTTGAAAAGTCCTACAACGTGGCCGTAAGCCAACCGACCTAAAGCCATGTGACATGAAGAACTATGGAGGATTGCCTAAGAGAAGAGAAAAAAGAGGGGTGGCTTAGGCCTAACGCCTGAAGAACTGGAGGCTGGGTGGATGAGTTGGAAGTGTTATATACGAAAAGCCATGATGCCTGAAGATATAAAGAGCTAAAGGCTGGGGAGGAGAGTAGGATAAAGTAGAATAACGTAGGGAACTGAAGGAGTGGGGAAATTACATGCATTGAAGAGAAAAAATTGTAAAATAGCCAAAAGGATCTCAGGTAGACAAACGGAAAGACAGACAAAAATACAGACAGATAAAGGACAGGCAGACGAAAGGAGGAGACAAATATATGCTCGTCAGATAAAATTATAGAAATTCGTATAAATTCAATTGGCATTACATCGAGGAGAGCGTTGTCAACAATGCGATGCAGCTGTCAAAATGATTGGAAGGATGAAGCCAAAGAGGCCTAAACTTTGGAGGAACATTGAAGAATACTTAGAAATCATACAGAGAGCAGTGAAGACCTAAGATGATGAAGAAGAAACAACTGAAGAAGAGAAAGAGCGAAACGTTGAAAAGGGACAGACAGTCGGATATTAGTAGAAAATTAAAGTAATCCATGAAAAATCATAGACAACCTTGAATGTTCGTAAAATTTATTGATACGAGGAGCCAAAGAGACCCAAATATTGGAGGAACACTGAAGAATACTTAGAAATCATGTAGAGAGCAGTACAGGCCTAAGACGAAGAACAAAAAACTACTGGAGAAGCTGAAGAAGAAGAGGAAGAGTGAAACGTTGAAATAGGCAATGAATAGTGACATTTCACATTTGACAATTTGCCAAGAAATGTTGAGGATAAAATTTTGACGTACTCCTTTAAATATAACGGGTAAAAACTTTTTTTTAATTTCCCGCGAGTAATGTAAAAAACAGATTGGCAACACTGCACATGTCCCTTATTATTATTATTACTATTAAAAAAAGTTGTAGGGCAATCAAATACAACAATTTTCTGAAATATTTGATTTAAAGTACCTACAAAAGAATGATGATGAATCATTTATTAACCAAACACAATTTTATAAATAATCAGGTCAAAATTAGAAAAAATATTGTATGTAACACGTTACGAAATGCCGTTTGGTGTAACTCGTTAATTTTGCGGAATATTTACTTCTTACACAAAATAAGGCATTTCGTAACTAGTTACATAAATAGCTATTTAATAACTTTATGTATTTTGAATAAAACGCCTAGAAATTACATACGATGAATAGTAGCGGCTCTAGAATTGATCATCGGGGAACACCAGTATTAAATATAATTTATTCTAACCTTAAAAATGAACGTATCTTTTCCTAGCAACTCCTGTACTTCGAAATAACTTTGCCACGCCGGATCTGCGGCTATAACGCATCGGTCCAGATAAAGAGGTTCTCTCAGAAGTGAATATCGACCGTTCTTATCGCGAACTAACAATAACGCTGCTTCTCTTACACCGTGTTTGGAAAAAATGAGGCTGCTGTCGTCTGAACGCTCCGAAGACTTGTTGGAAGATGGCTAAAATAATCATAATCAAATCAGATAAAGTCCAATTAAATAGACCTTTAAATCAAAATTTTGGAGGAAATACAGGAATTTTTGACATAAGTCACTTAAGAGTATTTAAAAACGATATGTAAAAAAATTTTGTTCCTCAGGCACCGACAAATGTCAAAAAACAAGAAAATAAAGTGTTTTTTTGAGGTTATTTAAAAACGGTAGGTGCTATGAAAAAAAGTTGTTAATAAAAATTGTAAAACATAAAGTTTTACATAAAAATGATATTTAACATTTTTTGATATTATTAAAACTGACAGAGTTAGGGTGGTTAGAAATTAAGAAGAAATATATATGAATTGGAAAAATCATTGCGAGCTGAAAATTCAATGATTTTGTAGTTTCTTTTTATTATTAACTCAGAAAATTATAAATTTCTCTTAAGAAAAATTATTTTTTTCTTGTTTTTTTAAGTTATAACAATCATTTTAATTTAGAAATTTTCAATATATTATACGAATTTATATGGTAAAATAAATTTTGAAGTAAACTTATTAGCTGGACTGACATGAAAAATATAAGGAGTGAACTAATAAAAACGACATCCCGACAGTCTGGTCTCCACTTGAAGTTCCATTAAATAAATAAAAATAAAAACAAATAAAAAAGAATTAAATAAAAAAGAAAGATAATAAAAAATGAATCAATAAAAATAGGCAAATTAAAAACTATATAAAAATAAGTAAATAAAAATAAATATATAAATAAAATTAAACAAAAATAAATAAAAAGACAAAAGTAAAAGAAAATAATTAAAAATAAATAAAAAAAATAAATATAAATAAAAATAATTATATTTAAAAAAAAAATAAAAGTAATTATAATTAAAAAAATAAATCAAAATAAAAAAAAATAAAATAAAAAATAAACAAAAATTTAAATTAATAAAAATAGTTAAAAAAATTAAATAAAATTTGGTAAATTTTTAAAAATAAAAAATAATAAAAAATAAATAAAATTAAACAAAAATAAATAAAAAGATAAGTGTAAAAGAAAATAAATAAAAATACATAAAAATAATTAAAAAAAAATAAAAATAAAAAATAAATAAAAATAATTACAAATAGTTAAAAAAATTAAATAAAAATAGGTAATTTATTAAAAATACAAATTAAACAAAAATAAATAAAAATAAATGAAAAGATAAATAATGTAAAAGAAAGTAAATAAAAATAATACAACATTCATTTTTATTTATTTACAAAAAATAAAATAAATAAAAATAGATAAATTATTAAAAATAGAAATTAATTAAAATAAATAAAATTAAACGAAAATAAATAAAAATAAAAAGATAAACGTAAAAGAAAATAAATTAAAATAAATATTTTATTTTTTTTAATTTTTATTAATTTTAATTTATTTCTTTTTAATTCTTTTTATTTATTTTTTATTTTTATTTATTTTTTTTACGTTTATCTTTTTATTTTTATTTATTTTCGTTTAATTTTATTTATTTTAATTAATTTCTATTTTTAATAATTTATTTATTTTTATTTATTTTTTTTTAAATATTTGTCATTTCATTTTTTTATAAATAAATGAAAATGAATATTTTTTATTTTTATTTTACTTTTCTTCATTTTTATTTATTTTTATTTATTTTTATTTATTTTTATTTATTTTTATTTATTTTTATTTATTTTTATTTATTTTTATTTATTTTTATTTATTTTTATTTATTTTTATTTATTTTTATTTATATATATTTTTATTTATTTTTATTTATTTTTATTTATTTTTATTTATTTTTATTTATTTTTATTTATTTTTATTTATTTTTATTTATTTTTATTTATTTTTATTTATTTTTATTTATTTTTATTTATTTTTATTTATTTTTATTTATTTTTATTTATTTTTATTTATTTTTATTTATTTTTATTTATTTTTATTTATTTTTATTTATTTTTATTTATTTTTATTTATTTTTATTTATTTTTATTTATTTATTTATTTTTATTTATTTTTATTTAATTTTATTTATTTTTATTTATTTATTTATTTATTTTTTTTTAATTTGGTGTCATCGGCGTCGAGTACTACGGCCATTAGCCTCGTATTCTGTGTAGGCTTTGTTACTGTTTCCCAGCGCCACTTTAAAAACAGCACTGTTAATTAGAACCCAACAATGAATGGTAGAGTGGGGAATCCTACCTATGTATTAGAATTAATATTTAATTTTTATTTATTTTTATTTATTTTTAATATTTTTATGTAGTTCTTTTATATTTGTTTTTATTTTTATTTATTTAATGGAACTTCAAGTGAATACCAAACTGTCGCGATGTCGTTTTTATTAGTTCATTCCTCATATTTTTCATGTCAGTCAAGCTAATAAATTTACTTCAAAATTTACTATATAAATTCGTATAATTAATTGAAAATTTCTAAATTAAAATTGTTATAACTTAAAAAAACAAAAGAAATTTTTTTTCTTAAAAGCAATTTATAATTTTCTGAGTAAACAATAAAAAGAAATATATATATATATATATATATATATATATATATATATATATATATATATATATATATCCTCTTAATTTCTAACCACCCTAACTCAGTCAGTTTTAATAATATCAAAAAATGTCAAATATAATTTTTATGTAAAACTTGTTTTTTGACATTTGCGGGTTCCTGAAAAACAAAATTTTTTTACAAATCGTTTTCAAATACTCTAAACTGACTTATATCAAAAATTCCTGTATTTCCTCCAAAATTTTGATTTAAAATTCTATTTGATTGGACTAATATGCAATTTTTATAATAGAAAATGTACCTTTCCATTGATAACCAACATAGCATTGACAGCATTCAATTTGATCGTTCTACCCTTCCTCCAATTATTGTCAGTTGGCTGAGTGAATAACAGCTTGCCCTCCAAAGCGAACTTCGCCTCTTCGTGGTTCCACTCCAAAACGTCCACGGCGATTTTCCTCAATTTGATATTGACCAAATCCATTTCGGTGCTCGATCTTCTACCGGAACTGCTACCGATTCTCCTCCATAGCTTGCTGGGAACGTCTTTCGTCTGGGAGTTCATATGATTTAAGTGTAGCTCGATTTTATGCTGAGCTTCTTTCAATTCGTCTTTATGATCGTAATGCGACGGGGTTACTTTGTAGAGTCTGGCTAGAAGTAGAGGGTACTTGGTGACTCGTTGGACTGGTACCATTAAGAAAGAATTTAAATTCATTCTTCTTAGCATGGTGTTTTCCATTTGGGATACTCTTAGGAATATTCTGAGGAGTTCTTTTTCTTTCTCCAAGCTTGCTAGGAGTAGACTAGCTGCTCCTTGTCTGACGCAGTATGTTTCGAAAGCGTGCAGCATTGCCATGGATTCTAGGAACATTTTTCCTATGTTAACGGTTAGCAGGTCTTCATCACCTTGTTCTGAAGCTATTTCTACTGCATCGCGCAACCTTTCTGCTAACGCTTGACTGTTTTCTAACAATTCTTCTACGTTCAAGAAGATGGCTGACAGTTGGTCTGGTGTTAGTAACCCAGCGACTAGCATCGGTTGGTAAAACTCTTCTAAAATAATCTGTAAGTCTTTACTGTATTTCTCCTCTGTTTCAACGATTTCTGAGATGATTTCTTTTCGCTCTGATCTCTTTTTCAAACATTTTCGACATAATAGCGCTATATTTCCAGTGGTGGCTTCTAATGTTGTTTCGCAATCCTCACATAATGCAAATATTTCTTGTTTCGATCTGTATTTACTCAACGAGCTCTTGCTGGTTTCAGAACCGACGCCAGAATCGTTTCTTTCTACTTCAGCTCCTTTTTGGTTCAAAGAGTTGTCGTCGATTAAAGATCCCTGCATTATCAACGAGTTATCTTCGCTAGAGTCGCTTACAGTGCTCATTTGAGACGCTTGAATGTCCTCTTCATTGACATTGTTAGTTGGGAAGTAATTGTAACCGTCTTCTTGTACGACACCTCTTTCTTTCGCGTCCACTAAGTAACTGAGGATGTCGTATTTGGACGCTCCTTCGAAAATGGATCTAAAACAATACAAGGAGTTTTAATAATTGAAGGAGATAAAGCAAGAAGATAACTAGAAGATGAACATTACAAAAGCTTTGATATAAAATCTTCAGGTGATGAGATTACTCTTGAAAACGTGTTGTATTTTCGACCAAAATGTGAAAATAACATCAAAAATGCTAAAGATTCGAGTTCAGGGTCACCGAGAGCCAGGTTGGACCCCGGGACAATTGTCAATGTCGAGCCCCGCAAAAATTTTATAAAAAATAAGGCATCACATTTCTAAAAAAAAATCTTCAAGCAGAAACTTCCCCCCACTTTATGGTGCCGAAATTCTGAAAAAGTACAAAACGTCCTCGCCAGGAATTGGTCCCAAGTACCTCCCCTCTTGTCGGCCCTGTTCGAGTTATGAAATATACTGCAAGGAAAAGAGATATTTTTGAAGAAATTGTTAATGTTTTTAAATAAGGTTTTAAAGTTAAGCGATGTTACTATAGATATAACTCCTGAATTGATAGAGAAAAGAGGTATTGACACATCCTTTTCGATTTAGTACCTGAAAGAGCAGCGTTTGGTAGGGGATCTAGTAAAACTAACCAAAGACATAAAATTATTCAGATGAAGTAACTGAATATAAAGTAATAAAAGGAATACAACAGACTCAAGATTATTTAGGATCATTATAATTATTTTAGGAGATGGTCGAACGTCTAAATATATTTATACATTATTTGGGACCTTTAATATGCCTTCTTGTCGATTGACCATTAGTTCCAAGTTGAAATTCGATTTCGAAATTGTATTTTTTGAATTTTTACAATCTTTGGGTTCATTATAATTATTTTAGGGGATGATCGAACGTCTAAATGTATTTATAAATTATTTGGGCTCTTTAGTATGACTTCTTGTCGATTGACCGTTAGTTTCAAGTTGAAATTCGATTTATAAATTGTATTTTAGACCTGAAAAGAATTAGTCAATCGACAGGAAGATACAATACATATCCGAAATAATTTATAATTATATTCCATCGTTTAATCTTCCTCTAAAATAATTATAATGAGCCCAAAGGAAGTAAAAATTCGAAAAATACAACTTTCAAATCGAATTTCGACTTAGAACTAAAAGTCAGTCAACAAGAAGGCATATTAAAGATCCCAAACGATTCATAAATATATTTAGACGTTCGACCATCCCCTAAAATAATTAAAATGAGCCCAAAAATTGTAAAATTCGAAAAATACAATTTCCAAAACGAATTTCGACTTAGAACTAATGGTCAATCGAAAAAAAGGCATACTAAAGATGACAAATGATTACTAAATATATTTAGACGTTCGACCATCCCCTAAAATAATTATAATGAGCCAAAAGATTATAAAAATTGAAAAAATACAATTTTCAAATCGAATTTCAACTAAGAACTGATGGTTAATGGACAAGAAGGAATATTAAAGTTCCCAAATGATTTATAAATAGATCTAGACGTTCGACCATCCCCTAAAATAATTATAATGAGCCAAAAGATTATAAAAATTGAAAAAATACAATTTTCAAATCGAATTTCAACTAAGAACTGATGGTTAATCGACAAGAAGGAATATTAAAGTTCCCAAATGATTTATAAATATATATAGACGTTTGACCGTCCCCTAAAATAATTATAATAAACCAAAAGATTATAAAAATTGAAAAAATACAATTTTCAAATCCAATTTCAACTAAGAACTGATGGTCAATCATCTAGAAGGCATATTAAAGATCCCAAATAATTTATAAATATATTTAGACGTTCGACCGTCCCCTAAAATAATTACAATGAGCCCAAAGATTATAAAAATTCGAAAAATACAATTTTAAAATAGAATTTAATCTAGGTACTGATGGTCAATCAACAAGAAGGCATAATGAAGATCTCAAATTATTTTTAAATACATTTAGACGTCCGACCATCCCCTAAAATAATTATAATGAGTCAAAAGAATATAAAAAATGAAAAAATACAATTTTCAAATTGAATTTCAACTACGAACTGATGGTCAATCGACAAGAAGGCCTATTAAAGATCCCAAATGATTTAAAAATATATATAGACGTTTGACCATCCCCTAAAATAATTATAATGAGCCCAAAGATTATAAAAATTTGAAAAATACAATGTTAAAATCGAATTTCATCTAGGAACTAATGGTCAATTGACAAGAAGATATAATAAAGGTCCCAAATGATTTATAAATAGATCTAGACGTTCGACCGTCCCCTAAAATAATTACAATGAGCCCAAAGATTTTAAAAATTCCAAAAATACAATTTTACAATCAACTTAATCTAGGTACTGATGGTCAATCGACAAGAAGGCATAATAAAGATCTCAAATGATTTATAAATATATTTAGACATCCGACCATCCCCTAAAAAAATATAATGAGTCAAAAGATTATAAAAATTGAAAAAAATACAATGTTTAAATTGAATTTCAACTAAGAACTGATGGTTAATCGACAAGAAGGCATATTAAAGATCCCAAATGATTTATAAATATATATAGATGTTTGACCATCCCCTAAAATAATTATAATGAGCCAAAAGATCATAAAAATTGAAAAAATACAATTTTCAAATCCAATTTCAACTAAGAACTGATGGTCAATCATCAAGAAGGCATATTTAAGATCCCAAATAATTTATAAATATATTTAGACGTTCGACCGTCCCCTAAAATAATTACAATGAGCCCAAAGATTATAAAAATTCGAAAAATACAATTTTAAAATCGAATTTATTCTAGGTACTGATGGTCAATCAACAAGAAGGCATAATGAAGATCTCAAATTATTTATAAATACATTTAGACGTCCGACCATCCCCTAAAATAATTATAATGGGCCAAAAGATTATAAAAATTGAAAAAATACAATTTTCAAATCGAATTTCAAATAAGAACTGATGGTCAATCGACAAGAAGGCATAATAAAGATCTCAAATGATTTATAAATATATTTAGACATCCGACCATCCCCTAAAAAAATATAATGAGTCAAAAGATTATAAAAATTGAAAAAAATACAATGTTTAAATTGAATTTCAACTAAGAACTGATGGTTAATCGACAAGAAGGCATATTAAAGATCCCAAATGATTTATAAATATATATAGATGTTTGACCATCCCCTAAAATAATTATAATGAGCCAAAAGATCATAAAAATTGAAAAAATACAATTTTCAAATCCAATTTCAACTAAGAACTGATGGTCAATCATCAAGAAGGCATATTTAAGATCCCAAATAATTTATAAATATATTTAGACGTTCGACCGTCCCCTAAAATAATTACAATGAGCCCAAAGATTATAAAAATTCGAAAAATACAATTTTAAAATCGAATTTAATCTAGGTACTGATGGTCAATCAACAAGAAGGCATAATGAAGATCTCAAATTATTTATAAATACATTTAGACGTCCGACCATCCCCTAAAATAATTATAATGAGTCAAAAGATTATAAAAATTGAAAAAATACAATTTTCAAATTGAATTTCAACTAAGAACTGATGGTCAATCGACAAGAAGGCCTATTAAAGATCTCAAATGATTTATAAATATATATAGATGTTTGACCATCCCCTAAAATAATTAAAATGAGCCCAAAGATTGTAAAAAACCGAAAATACAATTTCCAAATTGAATTTCGACTTAGAACTAATGGTCAATCGACAAAAAGGCATACTAAAGATCCCAAATGATTTATAAATATATTTAGACGTTCGACCATCCCCTAAGATAATTATAATGAGCCAAAGATTATATAAAAATTGAAAAAATACAATTTTCAAATCGAATTTCAACTAAGAACTGATGATCAATCGACAAGAAGGCATAATAAAGATCTCAAATAATTTATAAATATGTTTAGACGTTCGACCGTCCCCTAAAATAATTATAATGAGCCCAAAGATTGAAAAATTAGAAAAACACAATTTTAAATTCGAATTTTGACTTGAAGGTAGGAATTTTTGATGGAAAATTTTCTCCTTTTTTGAATCTTTTTAACCCTATTTTTTATTTTTCGATTAATTGTACATCATTTTTGCATATTTTGCAAGCGGCTCTTGGATTTTTTTCAAAAATCATCTACATGCTATTCCGAATCGAATGACGCCTCGTTTCGAATGCGGAGAAAAAACTTTGACCCAAAAAGTACTTATTGACTAGACTATAAGAAGACTTAAGAGATCTGGGGAAAGCGAGACTCGGAATCTGATAACTTCAAGTTTACAAATTTAGCCGATGTGTTCTGGTGGCAGTGACGTAGCCACGGGGAATTTTTGGAGGGTCCTCGCATCACTTTTTCTGGTAATTATTATTGACTGTTTTTATTCACTTTCTTGATGAAACCCCCACCAAAGTTCTCGAAAACTACTCCCATGAAAAATGGCTAACTACGCCACTGCTCGGTGGTAACTTCCCATTTTCGTAGGGGAAATAGATGATTTCAACGAAAGACATCTTGAAGTTGCAAGGTCATTGGAAGAACTTTGCGCCATCTATAAGTTTACATAACAACTAATAAAATAAAAAAGAAAACTGTAAATTATTATTTTGGCAAAGTGTCTAAAGTTACGGCGGCGTTAAGTATAAATTTCTTCTTTTTTCTTGCCTTCTTCTTTAGTTGTATGGGCTCAGTTTTCACTCTCAATATCGCCAAGATCTGGAATCTAGATCTGCATGGCTTGCTAAGCGCGCGTTAGGTCATTTTATGTTTTTAGAAATTTTGACATGACACATGACTAAGAAAAAGAAGACTCTGGGACCTGGCACTAAAGGTGAGTTCGGGCTGCGCACTCCAGACTGGAGTAGAGTAATTAGGCGTTAACGGAGTCCGAATATGAATTTACTCTTTTAACTCTCGGAGTGCAATGTCAGTTGTCAATGTGACATACCAGTACTTAAAATTTAATCGTACTTATCAGTAACGACCGTATATGTTTCTTCCATATTAATGATATTCACGGGAACCAAAAAAGAAAACTTATTTACTAAAGAATCGGTCACAATTAACTTATTATCGATTTAGATCACCTTATGCGCATGCCCGATCCACACTCCACTCCACCATCTCCGAACGGTCAAAGAGGAACTTTTATTTTAACTCCTTCCGTACCCGAACACCTTAGTACTTTAGGAGTTAATATTGTGAAAAGAGTGCGTAGACCGAACTCGCCATAAGTAGATAGAGAAAGACAAAGAAAAAAGAAAAAAATGAATACCGACGTCGTAACCTTAAAGAGATTGCCAAAATAATAATTTACCGTTTTCATTTTTATTTTATTAGTTGTTATGTAAACTTATAGATGGCGCAAAGATCTTCCAATGACCTTGCAACTTCAAGATGTCTTCCGTTGAAACCACCTATTGAGGATTATATTTCACAAAAAATATTCTTACCTAGTGGTGAACTCTTTATCCAAATTAATATCATCAAGGATACTAGACGGCGGAGGATTGCTAGGCAAAGGCGGCGGTTCCTCGATAGCCTCGTAAATCGGATCATCATTAACTTTGATACATTCGTAAATATGTTCATCGGGCTCGCCGACTTCTATCACCCCAGAATCGGCCAACAGTTCGTAGAATTTCGTCCTATTCGCCAATTCCTCCTCGGTCACCGAACTGCGATTGCTGTGATCCGTATAGCAATCGGAACCGGGATCGATCAGCTCGTATTGAGTCGAGGAATGCTCCGAAGATATGTCGTCGTAAAGCGATTCGTGCTTCGATCTAACTAGGAGTTCTTCGTACGTAGGATCCGGGAATAATTCTTTACCGGTAAGGAACTTTTTATCGCGTTGTCTCCTCGGCACGTCTGATTTCCCGCAGACGTGAGGAACTAAATTTCTCCGCACGGCTTCTACGGGATCTCGAAGGAATTCGCGCAGCAAATCGGAGTCTTTGTCTTTGGTATCTATTTCTTCTGTAGCGATTTTAGATTCGTTGTTTGGGATAACAGGACTGGTGATGTAAATAGTACTGCAGGATTTGTCTGGTTTTTCGGTGTTTATCGATAGTATTCCCGCTATGGAATCTTTTAATACGACCGATGATTGGTATAAAGGAACGTCATCGTTAACGTTCACTGTCGAGTAACAATCATCGCCGTTTATCATTATTGACGTCTTTCTTTGTGCGTTTTCTACAATTGTATATGGATGTAAATTCGAAGGTTCGGAAAATTCGTTGCGGATTTGGATTTTGTGAACAGCTGGTGGTGTTGTGATTTTAACAATTGTTTTATTAGTATTTTCAGTGTTGAACGATTCTATCCTTACACCGTTTTGTTTGTTAACGCTTCTTTTTCTAGGTGGAGCTGCTGGTGGTGTATCTTCTACTAAAATGTTGTTTTCGAACGTGATATCGTTGATGCATTTATCTAGTTTGGCTAGAGCTATTTCTTCATTTGGTTCCGGTTCGATTGTTGCTTCTATTTGACTTTGAGGCAGAGTTATGAGTATTTCGTTTCTATGAGCATTTAATTCGTTAATAATTATATCGTTTTCAGTGGCGGCGTCAATTTTATTTTCTATAAGTTGATTTAAATTCGTTAGTGATACATTTTCACTCTTCTCGATTGGTTCTACTGTGTTAATGATTTCGTAGATATTTTCTTCTTGGTTAATATTAAATTTTTTCATTTTTCTGTTAATCCCGTCTAATCTTTCTAGGTCCGAAAAGTCGATTTTGATGCTTTTTCGTTGTTTGAGTTGTCTCAATGCTGTGGTATCGTAGAAGTTTATTTTCGATTCTCCTTTTTTAATTCTGTCGCTTAAGCTTCTATATAAAAGGACGGGTTTGGATATCAGCCTTTTTTCTGTAAAATGAAAAAAAATATTTGATTTGTTTTTGGATTCTTAACAAAAAATAAATAAGTATAATATTGGGACAAAAAATTTAACAATGCGATTTTTATAATGATTATAATAAATTTTAATAACATGAACTCCCTTTTAATAATTACAATATTTAATTAGTTCAAATATTCCAATATATTCTAATACTTTTTGAGTGCCCCTCGTATTTGGAAATATGAATATTATATTAATTCGGGGAAATTGTCTCTGTCTAAAAATCAATAATTACTGTCAGAGGTTGTGCGCACGCCTGGCCACCTATTGATGTGCAATACACCACGTTTCTCGTTTGCTTATTTCTTTTCAATTTTGCAGCAGAATGAATCAGTTGGTTTAGTGCTTCGTTAAGTGTTTCCGAACTAACTAAGGTAACAGAATCATTTTTTTATAATGAATGGTAGAAATTAATTTTATTATGTGTGTATATATCCTGGTGAAATTATCTTTGAGTTATTTCATTCATTAATAGCGAGATTTACGCGTAATATAAGTTCCATACAATGTACAAAATGGCTGCCAATAATTTTATATTTTTTTTCTCAGTTATTTAAAAAAATCTTTCCATTCTTCATGTATTTTAATTTAAATACTATTGCAAATCTCTATTATTGTTGTAAATTTGAAATGTTCAATTTAAAAATGTTTAATTTAAATAGTAAGCTTTTATGGTTGACTCGTAGACTGACCACATTTTTTTTTTTTTTGAAGCAATGGAAAGATACAGTTTTTTTTTGTTGTAACTGACACGTTTTCTCTTTCTTAAAAAATTAAGGAACTGGCCCAGTAAGGAACATTTGATAACTAAGAACTCGTAGAACATGTCTAGAAAGTCATCGTAGGCTGAGCTACAGTTAAGAGAGCGACACGGACCAGTTCGACCGGAATCCAGAAACACACAAGTGTCGGCCAGGACCACACACAATTTTTGAGTCAAAGTTCATACTAGTCAATTTTAATTTAAAAAAAATAATAACTCATTATCAGTCAAATAACGTAAATCGTAAAATTTGTTAAAATCAATAAATTTCATTTTTCTTTTTTATTATTAATATCACTCATTAATGAATTAATTTTAAATTAAAGCCGATTAATTGTATTAAAATTTAAGTTCTTTTATTTTCCTTACTTTCAACTGACAAGTTAATGGCAAATTTACTTTTATTGTAGATCTAAAGGTATGGCGCCCAAATTAATTTAATTGAATTCTTTTAAGTCTTTTTAATTAAAGACCTTCCCATTGGCTTGAAATTAAATTCTAAACGAATCCCACTGACCCATTTTGATCTGAGCTAGGCCTGAGGCTTGTAAGAATTCTTATTATAAGGAATTTTACAATGAGACCCAGGTAAGGGTTAAAAAGTTAACGTATCATCTGGTGCCTAACGTTAAAATTGAACATAGAAAATATGTTTTTAAAACGTAACAATATCCTCGATTTAAAATTGTAAAAAAAGATAAATTAATCGTGTCAGCCGTGTTCAATTGTTATATGATAAAAAAATAATAGTGATAAATTCGTCTAAAGGACCCCGCACTTTCCTTATGTAAAGTGGCTGTACCAACCTAGTAACCAGAAGTGTCAATAGGCCCAACTCAATCCTATGACTAGTTTTTAAAATTTAAATTTTTAATAAAGACGTGGGTTTCCATTTAAAAATTAAAAATAAATTGCGATTTACTGTTATTTTCGAAAAACCGGAAGTAAGTCATAACGTCACGGACCAAATTATATCCAGTACATGACAGTATTTGTTCCAAGCTTAAGTAGAATGTGGGCGCCTTCAGCTCCCAGAATGAACCTTAGCAATTTCCCATATTAATTTACATAAGGAATGAGGCAGAATGAACATAGACATTAGGATGGCCATATTTGCGCCGGTTGGATTCTTCTAAGTGGATACTGATATATTTCCAAGACTTTATCCCAAAGACTTAAATTTGTTAGGCCTTTTAAAACTTGTCTCTACTCAGTTCCCTGAATTTTTCTGCAAACTCTTCAATTTTACGTCTATTCTCTTCGCTATACATCTTAATACTGAGAAAAAAAGATTGAAGATCTGGTTTGTTAACCGGCTATAGTAGTAGCAGTAGTTATTCTAGCGAAAACGCCGAAACGTCAAACGAAAACGTCAAACGTTAATCTATACCGCGTTCTCTACATAATGCCGTTTTTCCCGTTTGAATCGGACCAATAGCAATAAAGATACATGCTAAGGCCATTCTGCATTTTTATTCTGCGCATGTTTTTTCTCTTCTACGTTAATCTATACCAAGTTCTCTACATAATGACGTTTTTCCCGTTTAAATCCGACCACGTGATATACGCTAAGGCCCTTTTGGCATTCGCGTGATTTTTTTTGTTCGACCTTAAAAGAAATTTAATTCCTCATTCTCCCCTACTACCCCGTTTTCGCCTCAGACCGTCTGTCTTACTCTTATCCATTGAATATATACCTTTCACTCTTACACATTGAATTCCCTATGTGGGCCTGTCAAAACGAAACGTCAAACGAAAAAGTCAAACGAAAACGTCAAACGAAAAAGTCAAACGAAAACGTCAAACGAAAACGTCAAACGAAAACGTCAAACGAAAACGTCAAACGAAAACGTCAAACGAAAACGTCAAACGAAAACGTCAAACGAAAACGTTAAACGAAAACGTCAAACGAAAACGTCAAACGAAAACGTCAAACGAAAACGTCAAACGAAAACGTCAAACGAAAACGTCAAACGAAAACGTCAAACGAAAACGTCAAACGAAAACGTCAAACTTATTTTGTCACTCCCCCTTTCCCCCAGAGCCTTTGAATTGCTCAATTGGCGGGACAGCATGACAGCTTGGACATACACTTGGATTGAACATGGTGGCTTGAACATAGTGTCACGTGACAGGGTAACTGAAAATGGGGAGCTGAAGGCGCCCACATTCTACTAGCTTATGGTTTATGGTAAATGGGTCTCAATGAAAATTTTGAAGCTTACAAAGATTTTATTCCTATATTTTTTTTCATAAACCAATTAATAGTAACATGTTTAGAAAAAAATATTATCCAATATGGCGACCTTTTTGACAGCTGATAGAAAATTTTCAATACACGATTATTATACAAAAATGTCCCAGAAATTCAAATTTACAATAAAAAAGTGAGTTTCAAATAAAAATAAAAAATAAATTACAATTTTCAGTTATTTCCGGAAAAATCGGAAGTAAATCATGACGTCACAGAATAATTGAATCCATCATAAGAAATTATTTGTTCCAGTCTTTCAAACAGAAAAAAATTATTCCGATATCTCAATAAATAACGTAGATAAAGGGGGGGAGGTGGAACTTTTGAGTAGCCTACCCTACCCTGTATATATTTTTTAATTATTCACCAATGTAATTTTTTGCAAAATTCTAGATCTTAAAATAGTGGTAAAATTAATATATACTGAAGAAATGGTTACATTTGACCGTGGAAATTTTGTTATACAGGATGTTTGTGATTTTTGTACCTTTTTTTAAATATAATACCTTCCAACAAATGAATCACCCTGTATATTTTGAAGCTTAAAGGTACATATATTTAAATAGTATTACCTTTCTCAAAAATCAACTTATAAATACAGAATTTTAAATTATACCTCAAAAAATTAAATTATATGTTGTGGTTCTCTCTATAAAACACCCTGTATAAAAAATGCATTCTGCGCGATATTTTGTCGCCAAAATACTATACTGAGTAATATTTTTAGAAAATATGCTTCCCTGATGTCACAATACAATTAGTGAATTTTTACAAAAAACTACCATCATACATTTGTGAGTAACCCTGTAGTTAAAAATATTTTTAATAGTACGTATATACCTAAAAACTGCAAATTTCGAAAAACTGACAAAGGGAAAACGCCAAATTTTAAATTTAAGCTGCGGTAAGTTAATTAGATTTTTGGTATCATTTTTTTTACTTATATCTCTGTTATTTACGATTGGAAAAGAAAATTCTTTAAATACATGAGTTCCTTAAAATGGACCGTAAGAAATTTGAAAAACAGTAAAATTTAAATTTGTCAGTTTTTTCTTGGCAATAAATATATATATAAAAAAATATTTCAAGTAAAATGTGTGTTTAAAATGTATGTCTTTAGTTCATCCTACGAACATTTACAGGGGCGATACAATAAGTTGTACAAAAAATCGGAAAAAGTTTAATTAATAAAAATTACCTGTAACCAAAGGTTCCTCTATAACTTTCACAGGTTCCGCTTCGGGCCTGACATCTTTAAAACTTTCTTCAAACACGTCATCATCAGCATCATTATCATCAACATCGTTATCATCGCTTTCAAATCCTTTTTCGGGAATTTCTTCGGTGCTTGAATCCATATCGGTCGATACGAGAAACTGAACTTTTTTCTTCATATTCGGCAGTGGTATGTAAAATTGCGAACCTCCTCCGGGTTTTTCTAATAACGGTGATGGAGTACGTTCTGAGGTTTTCTTCAAGATCGATTTGAATTTTTGATGCAGTTCGTTATCTCCGATTCTAATCACGATAGAATCGCTATTTGCTCGCAATTTAGACGGTTCATTCTTAAAAAAAATAAATGATTAATGGTTAGTTGTTTGCATTTGAATCGGAAAATAGGTATTTCCTTAAACAGCATTTTTCTAGAATGAGTATGATTTATCAGCCACACAGAATTATTTTAATTATGCATGAAATCACAATAATGAGTTGATTGTTGACTATTTTAGAAAATGCTATTTTAGATTTTGATAAAATTATGAAAAAAATGTTTGCGAACCAGTGAAGGTTGAAGGGTGAAGACTTTTAGAAGCAAAGATGATACCTCAACATTGGCGCAAAAGAAAATATAATGATAGAGATGCTATGAAAACATAAACACCAATATTTTTACAAGTAATTCAATTATTATCCTAGACCTACACCAACATATCGAAGACGATTTTTCAATGGAAGAAACTCAAGACAATTTATTAGCAGTAGAAGATAATTTGATTACGAATACAGAACAAATTATGCAGTTGAAAAAGAAAATGAAGACGATGAGCTAAGTTTTATAGCTTTCAATGCTGACACAACTGCAAATGAACATTTCATTACTTTTGTTGTCAATTCAGGATCCACTTGCCATCTAGTACCCGAAGAGATAGAAGTAGACTTGTCAAACTTACAATTAAAAGTTACTAACCGTATTTACTATTTTCTTTTCCTTCAAAACAGGAGACAAAGACTTCAAAGATTTCAACCCGTTGGTTCCGATTAACCCTAATTTGGACGGTTTCGAACTGGATTTCGTTGGTGTAGATAATCGCAGTTGAACGTCTTGATGAAAGTCTTTTTCTGTAATCGATGGTCGTACGCGTATTCGTTGGCCATTGACGAAGGTTATTCCTGCTTCTTTTGATGTCGAGTGTTGTTCAGTAGACACCAATTCGTACGGATTGATATCGCATTCTAGGATAGAGCGGCGTCCTATTGTAAGATTGTAGGACTCCATTCGTTTTTCAGCTGGAATAGTAAAGAAAGAGACAAAAATAAAGGTATATAAAAGTATATTTGAAGAAATATGAAGAAAATTGAATATATTTGAGTTTGAATCAATATACTTCAAAAGCTAGATCCTCTCTGAAAACAAAATTGTTCTACCACAATATTATTGATTATTTTTAGTTTAGAAAATATACTTAGGCTAACAAATTATATAAGTAAATAAATAAAAAAAGAGTACACAAAATATATTAATATTAAAAAATAAGTTAAAACATATATTCGACTATGTACCTTTCGATTTTCCGCCATTTTTACTTTTGCGATCCCCCTCCGGTGTTTTATTAGGAGACACTGATCTAGCTCTGAACTGATTAGGACTATCCGTTACAGATAGTCTAGATTTTCTAACAATATCATAAGGATCTCCGGATAATGGTAATATCGATGGTCGTTTCGATGAAGTCACTCTAACTGTACCACTTCTTATTGGTGCCGAAGATGTTGGTACCTCTGTAGGATAGTACCGGACGGTTCCATATTTCGTTTGTTCCACCTGGTATATAATTAATACAAGTTATTTAAAGACCGAAACAAAAAATGAATTCTATCATCAGATCTTGACCAAATTTATTTGCGACCACCCCAAAAAAAGAATAAAATTGGAGGGTTCAATTAATTTTGGATGATAAGAAGTTTAGGTTAGTTAGGTATTTAACCCATGTAATTGATTTTTTACTTACAGATGAAAGTGGAATGCGAGCTCCCTTGCATTTTTTACACGTCGATGGCGCCTTCTTGCTGGATTTTTTGGTACCGTTGATGTAATCGGGACATGCGCACAGCACGAAGGCCGGTGTTAGAAGGAAGCCTCCCGGTGCTCTGACGCTACCGTACAACCATGGATCTGCATACCTCATCGAACGGGAAAGGGCACTTTCGCCCTCTACTCTACTGCTCTCGCCCTAACAAAAATATTTAGATTCAATTCAACCAGTCAATTTCAAATTTTACTCGAGTTGTAAAACGAAGAATATTAATTTTCTTGTGGTTAACAAGCGAAGAACACGTGAAAATAGTAAAATAAAGAGGAGAATGGCCAGCAATTGAAAATAATAGAATAAATATACAAAAAAAATTATTAATAAGGCAAAAAGAACTATGAAAAAAGAGAGAAGAAGAATAAAAGAATAAAGAAGAGAAAGAAGAAAATAAAGAATACGAAGAAGTAAATGAAGAAGTTAAAGAATATAAAGAAGAAGATAAATAACAAGATGAACAAAAAGAGATGAAGAAGATGAATGATGAAGAAGTATATTAAGAAGAAGATGAGAAAGAATATGAAAGACAATAAGAACTAAATGTCGAAAAAGCAGTGAATACTTACCCTAAATGATGCATAAGACGAATACGAAGTATCCGGTGGTGTAGTTGGAAATCGTCGCATTGCATGGCTAACCACAGCAGCCATGAACGTACATGTAATTCGGCATCACTGAAAAAAGGAAAAATATTATGTATTTTGTTGTATTTTTTCCAGTTTTGCATTTTTTAAATTAATTTGCATTTTTCTATTCTTTTATATGTTTGTATTTTTTATATTTGTAACATAGAACACAAACAGAATCAGGAACTAAATATTTTTACATAAGCAGACCTAAGAGAGTATAAAATATGTTTAAATTTTTCGATATCCTTAAAACCCAGGGTTTAGCCTAAGTAACACCAATGCTTCACAAATCTTTATCAAAACGACTCTTTCATTCAAAATCAAATCGCTTCTCGTTTCTTTTATACGAGTTTGTCTGTGGGGGGCTCAGTTTCGCTCGAATTTAAGTGAAAATTTATTGGTATAAAATTAAATGTGACATATTTATATGCCAAATATTGTTTGATTTTATTTTTATAAGAAAACAAAATTAATAGACATTTTTTGCGTTAGAAAGTCATAAAAAAAGTGATAACTTTTAAATGTATATTTATATACTATGTAAAATGATATCTTGCTTTGTACTAGAAATTTGAGCATATAGTACAGTAAACGCTAAATCTAAAGAACCAGCGCAAATGCTCAAGTTCGTTTACTTAAAAATCTCTACGCCCATTCACAATTTGAACCTTGTCCTTGCTTACGGTCAGTAGCGTAACGCGAGCTACCGGTAGCTCGCGGAGGCAATTCTGGTAGCTCTCACAATGATTTTAATTTAAAAAATACAAACTGCAAAAATCAGAGAAGCTTCCGAAAATTCCACAAAAAAATCTAATTGTCATAATATTAAATATAAACAGCGGCAACGTTGCGGTGAGCGATCTACCACTGACGCCATCAAGCTAGAGTCGGCTAGAACCGACCAGCCGGACCAGCGCGTTAGTGTTCGAGAACGATCAGGATTGCTTTGAACGGGATAAATACGCACGGCGCGGCGACATTGCGCTTAGTTTAAAATTGAACGCGTAACCAACGTCCAGCGGTTGGGTTAGTCGAGAACAACAAAAAATAATATTATGGCAAGTAGTTGTAAGAAGGTAAAGACATACCACTTTCATTCGGAATGGGAAGAACAATACTTTTTTACAGAAGTTAAAGATAAAAATGTGTTTGTTATGTAATATTTCTGTCTCCGTTGCTAAAAAAGGAAATATCGAGAGACATCATAAAACTGTACATTCTAATTTTGAAAAATCATTCCCACTACATTTTGCCGCCAGAAAGGAGAAACTGAAACAGTTAAAAAAGCAGTTAATTGGACAACAATCAATATTTTTAAGAACAGTCGACAAAAATAAGGCTGCAACTGAAGCATCGTACCGTGTGTCCCAGATAATTGCACAAAAAAAGAAACCTTATGAAGACGGGGAAATGATAAAACAGGCGTTTTTAGAAGCTGCTGATTCGTTATTTGCCAACTTTAAAAATAAAGACGAGATAGTTTCAGCTATAAAATCTATGCAACTTTCTGCTAATACAGTGATCAGACGTGTAGAAGTAATGAGCAATGATATTTTTTTACAGTTAAGAACTGACTTAGATAACTGTGTTTATTTTTCACTTCAAGTGGATGAATCAACAGATGTTCGTCAGGATGGTTTTTAGTGATTTTACGATTAAAGAAGAACTTTTGAAGTTTATTCCACTGAAAGGACACACTACTGGACAGGAGTTGTTTTCTCATTTAAAAAATATTATTTCATCCGAGAAAATTCCAATATCGAAAATGGTAGGCTTGACAACCGATGGCGCTCCAGCTATGGTGGGTTGTGATAAGGGTCTGGTGGCGTTATGTCGTAAAGATGAAACTTTTCCGCAATTTCTCTGTTACCACTGCATTATCCATCAGCAAGCATTTGTGGAAATTTCCTGAAATTAAACAACGTTATGGAACTGGTGGTAAAATTGTGAACAAGATTAGAGCTCAAGCGTTACAAAGAAGATTATTCAAAACCTTGGCCGATGAAGTTGACTGTCAATACGGGGACCTACTCCTTCACTCTGAAGTCTGATGGTTAAGTAGAGGACGGGTGCTGAAACGTTTTAATGATGTCCTATCTGGCATAGTTCAATTTTTTAAATAACGCAATGAACCGACTCCGGAACTAGAAAATTCAATCTGGCTTAGAGATTTTGGTTTTCTCGTGGACATTACAGAGAAATTAAACGAACTTAATTTGCAGCTTTAGGAGAGAGACAAAGAACTAGCGGAAATGATTTCTGATATAAAAACATTTATCAAAAAGCTGGAGTTTTGGGAACAAAACCTAATTAACAGCAATGCCAAGCATTTTCCTATTCTTTCAGAAAAAATATCTCCAAATTCATTAGAACCCTATGACAGCAAATATCATGTAGAAATAGTTTCTACCCTGAAGAATAACTTCAAAAATCGTTTTAAGAATTTCAACGAAATGGCTTTAGTAGCGCAGTTTGTTGTTTCACCCTTTATGGAAATTGATATCCAACAGTTTGCAACTTGTGTTATGCAGAACTTTGGCAAAGACATCGCTGCAACAGAAAATGAAGTAATTGAGTTTCAAAATGATTTAGCCTTAAAATCGTTAGTCTCAAGTACCAAATGTATCTGGCCTATTGTAAGTAAAGACAAATATTCAGTTCTATGCCGTGTTGCCTTGAAAGTGAAATCATTATTCAGTTCAACCTATTTGTGTGAATCTTCTTTTTCCAATATTAAGTTTATTAAGAACAAATATCGCAATCGACTTACAGATGAACATTTGGATAATTGTATTCGAATGGCTGTATCAAATTATACTGCAAACATTAAAAAACTTATCGATGAGTCTAAGTGTCAGCCTTCTCATTGAACGTGCTTTTTTATTTTTCAATGTTTATGTTCATGATAGTGCGTTACTTTTTTGTTATTATTAAATATTTTTAAATCTTACGTGACATGCCGTTGTGGCTGGATAAAAGTTTGTGTTTATTTTTCAAACACCTTCGTTTGGTAGGTAGGAATGTAGCTATGAACAAGTACGTACTAGTAATATTAATTATTTTGTTATTAGTTTATTATTAGTACCTATGTATTATGTATTACCACTTAAATAGTAAAATAAATACATATAATGATGATAAATTAACTGTGGATTATTTCATTTACGTTGCGTTACGTGGCTTCCGTGTGGGTAGCTCGCTGTTTATTCCAAAATTAACAAAGTAGCTCAACACATTGAGAGGTTGGCGACCACTGGACTAGATCATTGTTTGTTTCTTGTTTCTGTGTTTTGGTTAAAGTGACTGGTTTTATTTTTGATAATGTCTTCTATTGTGGGTGAAAAAAAGTGCAGATCTGTTATTAACGGACAAAGTCGTGAAATAATATACAATGTTTTTAAATATTTTGACGCAACAAAAAAGGAAGGAGTTACTTTAGACTGCACAAGCAACAGGTAAACATACTCTGTAGTTTATTTGCAATTAAACTTGCGTAGTTTTCTATATTTTTTTGTATTTTACACACATATCTATGCATTTTATTTTTGATTAATATTTTATATTTAAATTTTTAAAATTTATCTTCTATTTCTAAAAATTTTTGTTTCCTAATAAATGTAAAAAAAATACTAAATTTAACATTAATATAATATTACGTTTTACAGATGTTTTTTATACTACCGTTTAAAAGAAATTTTGAAGGAAGGTGAACAGTCAATGGAAACAAAAGAGTCCTTAAAATATTACAATTTAAGTGGAGAAAAACACAAAATAATCGTAAAGTTTTGGTGGAAAAAATGAAAATAAGAACTTTAAGAGTAAAATATTTGAGACCGATAAAATGTTTTAGAAGTCAAAATAGACCAATCGTTTATTTAGATAAAACATATATACACAGCGGACATACTTCTTCCAAGAATTGGACAGACGATTCAACAAAAGGTTTGTTTTTGTTATTTCTAAAAGCCAAAGGCTTATTATAGTTCACGGTGGGGGAGAAATGGGTTTTATCAAAAATAGTTTGATGATATTCAAATCAGGGACCAAGTCTGCACGTCCTTGGTTCTTTAGATTACTTTAGATTACTGTAACATTCGCGAAATAAAAAATAAGATGATGTTATTCTAATAAAGACCAATATAGCGTATCTCAAAAACTATATCTGACAGACCAAATCTGACAACTATTTCGTGTTCTGTACTCAAAAATTACCTAGGGTGGTATTACAGAACGTCTGCAGCAACTTTGCGGATATGCAAATATGGCGGACTTACAAACGCAAGTATTCTAAAAAATATCTACAAATTCGCAATATTTATTGTGGTTTATTACCCCCAACAACACTAAACCCAAATTTGGAATACGAAAACTTGATACTTGCATGTGTAAGTCAGTCATATTTGCAAGATTTCAAAGTTGCCGCCATATTTGCAGATCTGCAAAGTTGCAGACGTTCTGTAATCTCACCCCTAGTTGTTTGCATGAATTTAAAACGCAAATAAACTGGACTATAAAATAGTAAATTACATACTGCTCAGACCCTATAATTGCTCACAAAAAGTAAAAGCTGAACTAATACGAGAATGTTTTGATAGGCGTGTTTGTGAACTTGAAAAAAAAAGTATTCTGTGAGTTTTGAAGATAGAGAGAGACACGCGATTGTATATATTTTGGGTGAAGGTGAAGTTACACGGATTGTACGATGATGTCGTTGACTTTATTCGGAAATTTTGTATGTTTTTACTTTCTTCTGTTTATATATTCAACAACGTGTGAGTCTTTTAAATATATGTTGTGAGAAATTAAATAATTAAAAGATTGTTTCTTAGACGTCAACATAATTCGACAAGCATAACAATAAATACACTTAAGTAATTAAATTTTTCGAAAATGATAATAATTCCGTAATTAAACGAGATATTGGCATTTATACCTTTGTACTTGAAAATATACTGATTTAGGATCATGAAGGTAGATCTTGGTTATACATATATCTATGAGGTAGATTCAAGCTCACTGCATAAGGAATGTACTAATTTTGTAAT